AATTTTGTCAGAGAAAGAGAGCGCGTGCGCACAAGCAGGGGGAGGGGCAGGCAGAGGGAGAAGCAGGCCCCCTGCTGAGCAAGGAGCCCGATGCAGGACTGAATCCCAGGACCCTGGGATCATGACCAGAGCTGAAAGGCAGACGCTTAACAGAGCCACCCAGGTGTCCCTACTTTTATAGAGTTCTAAATTCAAAGATTTGGCATATGAATTACCAAATATCTTTTCAGGCTTTACCAGGTTATCTTAAAATCCCTAAGTAAATATAAAGAAACAGGACTAGATGAAAAGTTATGTAGTAAAAATACTGCTTGGAGTTGAGTGCCTAGGGCAGGGCATCAAGTTTCAATGCAGGTTCAGCATGCCCTCGATCAAAGTGGCAAGAGACTTAAATGGAAGGAATCCTGCAAGGAAGTGCCCTCTGTGAATCTGGGGGTGTCACCGGGGCATGGACACTGGGGGCGATGCCCAAGGGACGAAGGCCTTGGAAGCCAGACCTTCCCATTAATGGTATTGCAGGTGGACCAGGATAGCTCATGCACTGAATTGGTTCTGCTAATCCAAACTGTAAGTGGTCCTCTTCCCATTTCAAATGGGGTTATCAAATGGTAAATTTATTTAAAGACTGAACATGATATAGAGCAATGGCTTGCTTTGTTATTATTTGCTTTGTCTGTATTGGTCATGCCATGAATAATATCACTGTGTTTCCTGTCCCAGGTTCTTAAAGGCACCGTGGTTGCCTTCCCTGAATTTGATGAGCGGGCTGATGCAGAAACTCTTCGGAAGGCCATGAAAGGCCTCGGTAAATTCAACCTTCCTTTTGTTCTTAAAAAAAAAAAAAAAACAACAAACATATGACCTTTGTTTTTTCAAACAAAAAGTCACTGATTTACAGTAAGATTAATTTTAGAATATTTTATCTGAAATGTATAAAAAGAGGGAAGATACATGAAGGTAACAAAATAATATGACTGATCATCCCTAATATTCAATCTCTAGAACTGAACAGGAAGTTAAATTTGGCCTCTTTGTTTTTTAGCTTTTCAGCTTTACCTGGGAGGTAGCTAACCAAGTAGATAAGCAGACATTCCTGAGAGTGATCAGCTGTGCAGGCCTTTGTCCCCTTTGCCCGATCAGGTGTCTAGTTCTGCAGTCTCTTGCATTCAACTATCTTCTCTTTCCCCAGTCTCCTTTCTAGCCATGTATAAACCTCTCATCTGGAGGATTTCTACGCAGAACTGATCCTCTGTCCTCAGGCTCCTTCTATATTAGTGTCCATGAGTGGGGATCCACCTTCTTCAAATTTGGTTCTGACCCCTTCTCTCTCCATTCTGAACATCTTGTGAGATTTCCGTTGTAGCAGGATTAGCGTTAGCTTTCTGGCCTTGCACGCCCTTCCTTAGTATCCCAGCCCACATTGTCGGACTCAGCTCATGTTACCACTCCGTGTGTTCTCTGACCCAACCATGCTGGGTTATCTGCTATTCATGAAAACCCTGTATTTTCTTACTGCTGAGCTTTTCTCTCATTTTAAAGGCCTGTCCTCTTAACCTGTATCATCGCCTGATAAAACCCTTCCATCCTTCACGACTCTTTTGGGGGTCACCTTCTCCATGAAGTTTTCCCAAAACTCCTTCCACCTATCAGCTAAGAGAACCTCCTCTGAAACCCCGTTCAACACCTGAACCTCTCCTGAGGCACTTGTAACAGTCTGCCTTAGCTCAAGGTTGTCCATGTGTATTTGTATGTTTTACCCTAAATTGTAACTTGAAACCAGGGTCTGTATCTTTCTCCTCTCTTAATCTGCTATAACACTCAACACCTGCCTTGTGAATATCCATTGTTTGAGTAACTATCTGTTGCAAGAAAAACTAGGTGCGCTCAGTTTTTAAAAAGTCAGGAATATTTTTCTACCTACTTCACAATACATCAGGAATAGGGGATAGTTTATATTGAAAATATAACATGTTATATGTTGTGCATTTTGTAGCTTAATGAATTATTTAATAAGTCTATTTTATGAGGTAAGGAATCAAAGTGACTGGGGCGCTGGTCCCAAAGGTTATTGAGACAGTGGGCGTGGGGGAGCCAAGATGTAATTCTTCGAACATAAATTGCAGGCACTGATGAGGAGAGCATCTTGACTCTGTTGACATCCCGAAGTAATGCTCAGCGCCAGGAAATCGCCGTGGCTTTTAAAACTCTATTTGGCAGGGTAAGACTGCACTTCATCCTAAATTAGAATGTGAGAGCCCCGATATGGTTTAAGGCTAGTTTGAACTCTACGAATATTCCTTTGTAAACATTATTTATTCTGTTATTCTGATTTTACTATTCCTTTTCTCTTTATAAGGGTTTTTTTTTTTTT